GCACCCTCCGGATTGCATCCACGGCGTCAACCTTCCCATAAGGACCATATCACCACCTCACCTCACCATCATGAATGGTAACCGATACATCAAACATCAATTCATGCGAATTGATCCTTCACCGCTTAATTCTCCCCATGTCAACTCTCTCGTTGGTTTCGCCTGTCCCACCTGCCTCGAGAATGGGAAAATCACCCCGATGAAATACATCGCGTACAACTATGCAAACGATAGTTGGTGCGTCGCGGTAAGTCTTTTAACTGAATGGTAGCGTAGCATTCCTTCATTAACAACCTGACGACCCCTTTCGACCAGTGTGGTATAACCCCCCCGAAACCACCCCCAAACAGTGGCCTACCCAAACCCAGGGGACACTTCTATCGCACGTGGCTGGGCCCCCAGCTCAAGCAGGAAATCGCGTCCATCAATGCTGGCCTTTGGCCTCCAAGCCCATTTGCAACTCCTGCCTCAGCTTCTGCGATTACTGCCCTCAACAACGACGCTCCTGAAGAACGACCTACTGCTAGCCAACAAATCCTCAACCAGTTTTTGCCGGCGCCGTTACCCAAAAACCCTTCCAAAGCCGCTGAGGTCTTGTGCCGCGGTGTTGATGGTCGGACTGGTCAGGCCCATTCTCGACAAGTTGCTCGCAAAGGCAACCAGCAGTGTGTGTACCAAGCTTGTGCTTCGGTCAGTCTGCACCTATCACTGTCATGGTTGTTCCTCATTCGTACATTAATACCGGAGAATCTTCAGTGTTGTCAAACCCTTGGCACATTACCCTGTGGCGCCAAACGACACAAGCGCGAAACCGGCGGTGGCGAACCTGCGCTTTCCGTCAATCTACCAGCCCCGGCACCATTACCCTTGCCGGCTTCAATTGCGCCCACACAACCTGGTCCTTCCTCCCAGGGCCTCTCGACTACCTCCACCCACCGTCGGATCACGCATCAAAGTGCTCAGACTGGTGGTAAGCTGGCTCACGAACTTACCCAAGAGCAACTCGCGGCACTCTTTGACATGAGGGCAGCCCGTCGTGAAGAGATGAAGACGAACGCACGTCTAGCAACGGATTCAAGTAAGGTAGTTGACGTTATCTGGTGGTCAGAGGTAAGACCTTCAAAACACCATTACCCCCTTCAATAACTCAGGTCACTGATACCAGCTACGCTCATCATGAAGGCTGGTCAGGATCCGCAAGTAATCACGTTTGAAGCACCCCAATGGCCCCGGTTCATGTTCACTCAGTTTTCATCTTTGATCACCGAAGCCACTGTGAAGGCTAGCCTTTCTGAAGGCACCACATGGACGCGCAGGCTTTCACTCTGGGACCCAAATTTCTTGGCATGGGTGTGTTTTCGTATTGGCTACCATGGCGATGAAAGCGCCCTCACTTACATCTGTCATCTCAGCGTTCGGTCCCCATTGAAGTGCCGAACCTCCTGCCCACATTCCCTCGCCAGATCTTTGTCAAGCTTGACCACATCGATGCGAGCAATTGTCCCCAGCTCGATAGGATGCTCTATAGGGCATATGAGAGTGACGAGACCTTCACTAGCGGGCCAAACATCCCACATGCGTCTGGCTCACGCCTAACCACGACGCCCATATCAACTCCTTCTCAACAATTGCCTCAGCGTCAACAATCGCCTTTCCACCTTCAACAAGAAGATGTCCCCGACGTGATCTGGATCCAAGACCAGTTCACATCTGCCGGGCCATCTATCGCTAAGTCCAACACCAATGTAAGCCAAATCCTCTTGCTTACGTGTCTGTCAAACGCACTGACAAAGCGTCACGTTTCATCCATGCGATCAAGCAGCCACCTAAAACATCTACCACCCTAGTGCTTGGCCAGGCCAAAAAATTACCTTGGCCTAACGATGAGGCGCCCTTGCATGATGTGGTGGATTGGGTCGACCTCACCAAAACCTCTGGTTTGGCAAGGTTGAAGTCGTGGAAAATATCATTTGGGGAAAATTTTACAGCAAGTGAAAGCACAATCTATCGCTACCATAGGTGGATCAAGTTTATCGAGGATGTAGGAGAGGGAAGGATTGCTGCATGGGAACATGCGCAGAAGGCCGTAGGCACGCCAGTGACTATTGAGGCTGCTCGGAAGGAATTTAGCCTTGAGTACCAGGCAGCTGGAGCACCTCCCAAGCGGAAGGACACGAGTTCTATGCCAGAGGTGGAAAATCTTCGTAAGAAGCGAAAATTGGGTGAATGAGAGGATTCCTTTTTATATATTCGCTATGTCCTCCTATCTGTTCAGGAACTGACTGTTGGGTACCATCTGTGTTTATTTATTTCTGTTCTGTCAGTGCTCATCTGTTCCTCCACGGTCATCACACCGATTCGTGTTTTTCTGGACAAAGGTCAGTATGACATCTCCAGTTCCGCCCAAACAGAATGGCGGCATGTGTATCTTATTTGCTTCTATTTCAACCCCCCCACATTAATAATTATTCTCTTGGAAGCTGCGGAAGACTGCCTTTTCTACCTAGTATGCGTGCATGAAGCGCATGTAAGGTAGGAAACAAGGACATGCCTGTGGCAGTGTGTATCTAGTCTCTTTTCACCTTGTATATTATCTTTTCCCCTTGGAAATTTGTGCATGCAAAGCTAGCCTGATTGAATAAGGTGCAACAATCAAGACGTGACTTAACTTGCGAGGGATCTCAGGAATTGGCACTAATGACTCAACACTAATGACTCGATAGCCAGCCTCATTTTTCAAAGGGTGCGACCTTCGGCTACCTAGGTGGAGAAATTGATCTCCACCTACTTACCTTTGGTGGATATCTGAAGAGGTGTGATCGATATGCAGCCATCTTTCAGACTGATACGATTTTTCACCTGCTCAAGATATGGAGGCTCAATAGTCTCCATACCTTGCGCTTCATTTGCCCCTGCCAAATTAAATAAGACTGCAGGTGATGTTTATTGAGATGGTACGTGGCCACTATGCTCACGTAGCGTCGCTTGATTCAGCTGATAGTTTGCTCAGTTAGGGTCGCCTCATCAGATTGAGGTTGGTTGACATCATTAGCCCTGGCATGCAACTTGAATTGGTTGTAATCAAGCATTTGAGTGTTTGATCCGCGCTCCTGGGATGGATGCAAAGCGAAAGAAAAATTTAGAATCGTGTTTTCTTTCTTCCCCTTGAGTTGTCTCCTTCTTCACCACATCTTGTTTGTCTTCATAACAAGTGTATCCATCCATCGTCACTCATTGCTATTTTCAAGTGTATTTCGTCACTATCGCGTCTTGGTAGGTTTCATCACTCCTGTTCACAACGTCCTTATTGTAACTTGCCCATTTACCGTCCATCCTTCCCTTGGATTATAGGAAAATGGCAGATGTCGCAGTTCCCGCATCAAGCGACCAAGTTGATGAGTTGCTTTTGAGCGACACCGCCAAACCTTTACCCGATGCAGCTTCAACGGCAGCTAATGTCACTTTGCACGACGTGTGCCATTTGGGTACGGTGCTATTCTTTGTCTTTGTTTTGCTTCTTGAAATGTGGAACTGACGTGCTTGCTTTCCCACGAACGATTATAGAAAACGTATTGGTCTCAGACCCCACCATCCACGAATTGGAAACCAGATCTTTTGGACAAATATCCCTTCCGCTCCTGCAACCCCACCCCGCCGAACAGCCTCCTTTGACAGAAGGCAACGTAACAATGTTCGCTATTGCATGTTTCCGAGCCAACAACGGCCCCAACTGGTGTTTCAACAGCCATCCGGCCACACTGCAGGTTTCCGACAAGTACCTCGGCAGGTGGGACTGCCACGCCACCCACCAAGGTACAATCTCGGTCGGGGATCTCTCGGTTACAGTTGGGGTGCGCCAATACGAGCATGGTGAACCAAGTAGTGGCCTTCGCTTTTACTTGGGACTCGCCCAGTCCTACTTGCATGCAACAACTAGTCTGATTTGTTTTCGCGAGCAAGTTACGAGCCGATTGGATCCTGTTGAGGATTTCACCGACGAAGAATGGGATGTCCTCCACGCGTTTCGGGTAAGCTGTTTTTCTAGGCGTGCTTTCGCGGTGTTTGTTTAGAATTTGCCGTTTGGTTCTTTTTTTAGTTCATGGAGAACCTTGTTGGCCTCAAGCAGGAAGAGTCACCCGGTCAAGGATTTCCAGGATTTACCGCCGAAGAGTACCTGAGCGGGCCACGCGAAATCTTGACTTTGGACTGCTCATTCAAGCCTCCGCCTTGAGAACACCTTCAATGTCCTAGACGTCTCCTTCTCGAGGCGTTTTCCCATTGGACATATGAAGAGAGTGGGCAGACGAGTATCATCAGCGGCTTTCAAGGTGTTGGGACTATCCTGACGGAGGCCGTCATTCACGATACCGAGTAAATTGCATTCTCTCTACACTTTGAAATGGTGGACAGTGCTAATTCTGCGCTTAAAATCATATCAGGGGCAGTTGGACCATCAGCAATTTCTCCACCACGGCCACCCAGTCCTTCCCTAAGGAGCATGTTTGTCGAAAGTTTTGTATTTTGCTAGGTTTTCCCCAATATGGTCATCACGTCGCTCAATTGACTACATCTCACCCACAAGGGAGGTAGGGATTTTGTTGTTGTACTTGATGAGATTGAGAAAAATGCTCGTGTGTTTCAAAATATCATAATTCCTTTTGCCATTACAGAAAATCATGTAGCTTGTTTGACTTGTTCATTTAGTGTGTTGAACTTCAAAAGTCCAATTGTTACATACTTGATGTTGGTTGTTCTTGATTACCTTCCCCACTGGCCATTACAATATATTTGGTCAATCCATAATATCTTATGTATCTCCCAATTACCTGCGTCCATCATCATCACTTCTTTTGATTTCCTCAGAAGTCACACGCTTAGAGAGGTTGAAAATTTTTGTCGATGAAGTTTGAGTCAAAGGAATTTCTTGAGGTCAATCTACCTCGAACTGCACATGCATATGTGCTTTAACGTTTGGTTACAAACAAATAACATTACAAATCGATAATTTGTAATTATCAACTACTGGATACACTTCTTTGAAAATTGACAACATAATATAGAAACAACTCAAAATCGAACCACCAAACTACATTGGCATGTCACCGATTATAGTTATGTTTGCCCTCTTTTTAATTCTGCGAATCAACCACTTGTTCCTCCGTTCCACCATTTCTTCCATGAAGAAGTTGAATCGTACGGCGTGCATGTTTCTGGCAATAGATGAGAAGCCGCCATACCAAACGTTGGTCATTTCAGCTGCGGAAGAATTAAATATCCATTCACCGTTGTCACAAAGCTCAGGGAAAAGCTTTGGGTCTGTGTAATGCTGACAAAATTCGTCGGAGTCTTTGTGGCTACGAAAGTGGAAAGGATCCACTGGGAAAACTGTTCTCAAGAAAGGTGTGGGGTCTTCTCCACCATGGTAGATGTGATCGACTAATTTGCAAGCACTGTCGTAGAAACACACTTCAGGCATTTTTTTTGGGAACGTACGCAACCCTGGGCCAGCAACGCAGGTGTTGCGTGTTGCGCTGCGCCTGCGTTGCGGTTTTTCTGACCGCAGCGCAACATAGAATCAAATTCTAGGTTGCGGCCTGACCCGCAGCGCAACATCATTTGTCAAATCGATGGATTTTTTGGGCCGCAACAACATTTGTTGCGTTGCTGCCCAAAAAAAATCACAGTTCGGCGTTTTTTTGGCGCTGTTGCGCCTGTTGCGTTGCGCGACGGTCAAGGCGCCGCGCAACCTGACCTCACCTTTTGTTGTTGCGGTACTTACCGCAGCGCAGCATGTAATGCAGGTTTGTGCTGCGTGTTGCGGAGCAACGCACCAAAAAACACTCGTGTTGCGGTGCGTTGCGTTGCTGGCACAGGGTTGACGTACGTAGTATGAAGGCCTGTGCACAATAAGGGGACCACCATCAGCGAGTGTTAATTCATGATCAGGATAGTGCTAGTCTAGTGCGACCCACTCGAACGGCGCTCAAACTTTCTGAATTGTAGAACGTTTCGCGCGCAAGGATGATTCCACAAGCACCTACCACGAGCTGATTGTTGTGGGTGCGACGGCGGGAAAGGCATACTTTGTCTTTCTTCTGAGGGGCATCCCCTCCCTCGCGAGCTCCCTCGTGCGCACGATCGTTCTCGTCGGCTTGCTGGACATCTTCCAGGTCCATCATTTCAGCTGTGTCCCAATGTTGATGGACGGTAGGGTCAGAAGGTCGGCTGGAGCCAGGCCGATTGAGCATCGAGGTAAGAGAAAAGTTTGATGTCACTCGGCCTTTGAAACGGGCGTAGGCATCAATATGAGCTTGAAGGTGACATGTCGCACTGTCTTTAACCGCAGGATTGGAGCACGGTTGTGCCTGGCACCGAGCACCCAGGCGGATTTGGTGGTTGGGACAGAATCGATCGTTGACTCTAGCAAGTTGTGTGGTGCATGGGCCATTCGGAGGGGGCAATCCGTCCATCACGGAGAGTTCGCGGAGCTGTGCCGAGGTTGCTGAGCATCTGAAGTGCCCTATGGTGACACCGTCAGTCACCACCGCGCGTATACCTAGTAAAGAGAAGGTCAGTCCCCAAAATGCAAAGGGAAACATTGAGCATTTTACCCACCCTTCACCTTAGGATTGGTGCCCACATCGGATGGCTCGGTTACCAATCGAAAGCATGCGGAGCAGACGTGGTTACGGTGCGTTGTCCCTTCCAAAGCAATACGTTCCAGCACTCGTTGCATGGCACGGTGATACCGTTGATTGCTTTCGACTTCCTTGGTGTCTACAGTTAAGTGGGTATCCGATGAGTCGGCTCGGAGGAGTAGACTGTGTATGTCCAGACCGTCCTTGCAAGTGTTCTCTGACATAACAGGCTGTACCATTGGTGCACCTATCAAGGCAGGAAGATCGAAATCGTCGGTATAAGAAAGGTTGAATAGATTGACCAAGTTGAAGTTGGAGATGCTGGAATTACGGTGAGAGAAGAGAGGTGAGTCAGAAAAAACAAAGTCACGGATTGTGAAAGAGGAGGACGGGCGCACTGAGCCAGCATTTGGCCATTACGAAAGAACTCGGCTAGCCTGTGTGTCATGAAGTAATGGCATGACACCTGGAAAATGGCCGGGTTTCGTCCTTCCATGGTGGAATAGTAAGTCCGGACTTTGTTCATCGAAAAGTAACTCGGCCGGTAATGGGTCTTGCACTCTGCTTGTGTGATTGGTCAGCTATATGATTACAAATACGAGAGGCAGGTCCAACGACTAACTGGGACATTTCATTGTAAAAATCCGTGTAGTGTGTACGCCGTCGATATCGTACAAGTAACTGTCGATTTGAGATCGGTGCTGTAATTTGATTGTTTGCGCCGGACATAGCACACAGTGCTTGACAGGTGGCAAAAGAAAATGTTCGGGGACCTGCGCAGGTAATTCTGGACGGTACCCATGTTGCTGAATGAGGCGATCCGGTTGTACATGACTTTGAGGTAAAATGGGACAAATTGAGTGCCACAATTGGCGGCAGAGTTTCGAGGGGAGTGATAGACCCAAAGCTGTGCGCAGGAACGGTGTAACTTCATGTGCACTTTCGGGTGACAAGGTCCACGCGCCTTCGGCGCGAGCCTTGACCTCAGCCGCGAGGGCGGTAAATCGAATTAAGTCGGGTGAAGCAAGAGTGGAATAGAGCTCTGGGCTTGCTTGTGAAAGGAATTCGACGAACGTTCGGAGCAGCATGATGTTGGGCGTGGTCGTTGGTCGATGGAGATTCGGTTGAGTGGAGTTGTTGCGTGAGTGTGTGAAGACACTAACTAACTGGTATGGTTGGAGGATGACCAAGGGTGAACGTGCGATCCGCACACATCCCGTTGGCAGAGCTCCGACTCTTCGGGGTGTTTGTGAAATACGTGAGTTGTTTCACTGCCCATGTCGTGAGTCTGTTTCGTAGGTGGCAACCGATGTGAACAGGTGAATGACTAAGGGGTGGCTTTTGTGTAAAGCCATGAAGTCATGGTTTAACAGGGGTGCTGACAGTCAGCGGTGCTGACAGTCAGGGCCCTCCCGAAGGCCCAGATCTATTTCGAGGCTCGGTACGGTAAATTTCAGTAAAATTTACCGTACCGAGGCCATTTACAGAGACGATAGTGGATGCTCTAAATTTCAGCTCGATTCATCTGAGATTACAGTACTATAGACCTTAGGCGGGCTCGCCCGCCCTTAAATCTAGGGCTGTAATAGAACATTGGAATATGTATCAGGACAAATGCTCAAGCCATGTGCATAATTTGTAATTCTGAAACATCATCAATTATTTTTAAATCAAGATATGTTCAATGGCACTTGAACATAGGGTATAAGGCTTAAATCATCAACTATTGTGTGTCTGAGTTTGATACTACACACACGGCAAGATATAAAGGATCTTGAAATGGTGATGTAGGGTGAGAGGTGGAATATCAAGTTATTATCTGACTTTCAGGAATAATTAACATCACATCTAAGAAGGGTGTCATTAGGTCAAGATTCAATCATAAACTATATTTCAAGAACTGTTCTAAGCTCCTAAAAGTTTGATACAATGTCCTCTGCAATAGATAAGTTGTTAGCTCAGGCATGAAACATACTACATGGCTGATATTGCATATATAATAATTGATCATGACCTATTGTATACAATTTGATTAATATGTTTCTTGTGGTTTTTCTCAATATGAATTCCTTAGTATAGGATGTGATTTGTTGAGATTGAACCTTGTATGAGAAGTGATTGGTAATCAAACTTGATTTAGTCTGACTGGTAAAGTGATTGATTGGTACAAGCTACAAGGCATTTTGTATGATTATTTTTGAAACTGAGTTTGCCATGGGATTGGTTTTGAAAAGGTGATATGCAGTGTTCTAGAATATCAGGAGGTATAGCTGAGGCTTATTATCTCAATGGGTAACACCACCTCCAAGTGTACTTGGACTGAAACATATATACTAATGGCCTTCATACACACACATCTTCATTTAATGACTCTCACAAGCAACACTTTACCAATGATTGCATTATTCACGAGGTCAACAATCCACAATTAGATCTCCTCAAAGTCATTAACTTGAGGAATATATTCAAATAATCTTTTTCAATCAACAAAAAGAATAGATACGTCAACACAATCCACATAACTTTGGAATACAATGTTCATACATAATCCTATAGGAAAAAAACCCACCCTATCAAATGATATAAATGCTGATCAAATTTAAAGCATTCCACAAATTGAGAATTCTCTCATCTTTTGCAACACAATCTGAACTTGTTGTGATCCTACCATCAATTCAAAACATGGATTTAAATATGGGATTCTTAAATCTAAAAGTTCAGATAATTCTTGATTTAAAGCTTAATTAT